TTTTCAATTCCTACCTGTACCAGTGTACATTCTCTGGTCTATCCAGATTTGAAATGGAAAAACTAATCACCAAATTTATATGGAAAGGAAAGAAAATCAGGATAAACAAAACATTATTAAAAAACAAAAAGAAAGTAGGAGGCCTCTCCCTGGTTTTAAAACCCGTTATACAACCACGATAATAAAAACAGCTTGCTATGATTCAGTAATAGAAATGTAGACCAGTGGAGCAGAACAAAGAGTCTGTAAATAAAACCAAGCACCTATAGACATCTGATTTTTGATAGAGGATTAAAGCACGTTAAATGTGGAAGAGTCTTTTCAACAAATGCTACTGGAAAAATTGAATCTCCATCAACAAAAGTATGAAACAGGACTCATGCTTCACAACATATTAAAAAATAACTAAAGATGGGTGAATATAAACCCTACAACTTTAAAACTCATCTCAATGAAATAATGACAAACTTAAGGGCCCTAATACAAGGCATATATATACTACCAAACATAATGCGTAATAAAAAATATCCACATGACAGAAGACAAACTAGAGGACTGAAACCTCCTAAAAATGTGACATTTATGTACATTAAAGAGTAAAAAAAAAGAACCCACAGACTCGGGGGTGGGGTGGGGTGGGGAATTGGCAGTGGTCTATTGGATAAAGGACTCATCTGTTAAATGTATAGAAGACTGAAATGCCTCAATTAGAAAAACACAAATAATCCAATTAAAAAATGAGCAGAAGACGTGAATAGAAATCAATTCATTCAAGATGGCATCTAGGTGGCCAAGAATCATATGAAGAAATGCTTGAGATCATTAATTATAAGTAAAAGACACATTAAAACAATAATATGATACCACCTCATTCTGGCACCGAGAGCAAAATTTTATAAAAGAAGCAGAAAATAACAAATGCTGGAGAGGACTGGAGAGATGGGGACACTTGTACACTGCTGGTGGGATTGCGGAATCATAGAGCCACTATGGAAACCATCATGGTGCTTCTTTAACCAAATGCAAACAGAAATATCATATGATTTCTCTACTCATTATACCTCAAAGAAACAAAGAACCAAATATATGTACACCCATATTGATCGCAGAGCCACCTACCATAGCAAAAAGATTGGGACAACCAACAAGCCCATCTATGGAGGAAGGATAAGCTCAGATCTATATACCTCATCAAAACTTACACATCTCCAGAAAACAAGAATGAAACTGTGAACACCTCATGACATGGACAAATTTGGAAGACCATTATTCTCTGCAAAGTTAGTCAATCTCATTAAGAAAAATACTGCATGGTACCACTATTATAAAAGGGGGGAAAATGGTTTTCACATCCCAAGAAGCCACATGGCGATCTGGGGAAAAGCTTTTTAGATTGAGAGAATCGCTGGTCCAAAGACTCCAAGGCATAGTGGAGTTTTAAAAAGTTTTTAAAATAAAAACTCATATCTCTGGAAGGATGTGTTCACTGACTGTTAGATAGAACAGGAAAAAGATCTTGATGTCCCACTTCCTATACTTCTGAACCTTTGCCTTACCAAGTGGGGGCTCCTTGGCTCCTCTCACTCCCAAAGAAAGGAAGCATTACAAATCTGATTGGGTAGAACCAGGTATGTTTTATTTATACCTGTGATTACTTTTCTTAATTATCCCTCTGTCCTCAGCTTTTTATCATGGCCATCTCTTTATCCCAACTCCACCCTGGTATGCTTAGGACATTTGTCCAACTCAATCTTACCACGGAGTCTCCATATGACTTCTCCAGACACAAAGTAACTATTAGCAAAGTTGCACGTTGGTAACTGGACCACACTGGACAAAGAGGAGGTAGAAGCAGAGCAAGAATAGCATGTGTAGGTCGCTGGCTGTTTTATCATCATAATAGCATTAAATCAAGGCTGAACATCAAAAACTTGAAACCTATCGATTATACCCACACTTGGAAAAAGACCCTAAAGTCCTTCATTACCATATATGTACATTAACCAAAAATACAGTGAAGCTTAATATGAAGACTCCTCTTATTTCTCCTAATGCGTCAATACTTCAATTTTTTAAATTAAAAAGCAATGTGCATAAGCCGTGGTACCTGTGTGGTCGGGTCCTTCGTTCTTGACTTCTACTGCTCCCACAGAAGAGGCCGGTGGACTAGCAGGAGGGCTAGAGGTCGAACTTGGGCACCCTGTGGATGTGCTGATTTCAAAATATTCTTGGTTGTGGTTCACTCGTTGAGAATCCAGAGAAGACACGATAGACGTTCGTTGTTTAGGCTAAAATGAATGAGCACAAGAGTATTGAAACTAATATGTTCACCATTAGCACAATCTCCACATCCATTTTTTTTCCCATTGAAGTACCTGGGTTTTATACCTGAAAAACAATTGTGCTTTCTATAGACCCCAAATTATCACTTAATAAATCAAATAGTAAAAAATAATATAAAAATATTATGGCAGAGTTGATATGATAATTTTGACTTTCCCACTGATTTGCCCAGAAGACTGAAAAAACAAAATTTCTCTTAATGATCAGTACTGAATATTGAAGATTTTAGTCACCTTTGATTCAACTAACATTTATTATGCATCTAGTATTTGCCATTGCCTGTGGATAGAGAGCCTGACAATAAAAGGCCCCTCAGAGTACAAAAATATAATTAAAGCAGTCCTATTTTTGACTCTAGATATTGTCCTAGGAATTAGTGGCATTAGATAATTGTCACTAAGTACCGTGTGCTACAATTTTTTTTAAGTAAAGTTGTATAAAACAAGTTTCAGAATTTAAGAATCCTGTTGGTATTTGTAATGAACTTTGATTTTTCTCTTTTAAGGATTTTAATTAATCCCCACACAGCAAGAAAAAAATAATTTATACATAAAAGTTAAAGTCCTGAAGTAGTAGTAGATAAAATCGATACCCTTTGTCAGTAATAGATTGTTCCCCATAGCAGTTTTCTGCTTTTATCCCATAGTTTTAATTATGTTGTTTTTCCTCTGCTGCCCTAGCAGAGCATCTAACATCATCCTTCAGAAAAGATGCAGTCTTTCGACCCTCAGATTTTTGTACATTCCCAAAAATCAATCCTAGGTTTTTTTCCATTTTATTCTTCATATTGATATTATAGAAATATTAATAATCTCATTAATCTTATAGTAAAAATATTTTGAACCATAATATTTCTATATACCATAGCTTTCTTTTCTTTTCTCTCATCTCATGAACCTGTTTAAAGATCTTGGATAATAATACATTCCCATGGTTGAAGTGGGTCACAGGAAGGTAATGTGTATATTTTTTTCAGGTACAAAAAGAGAAATTAAATATAGTTAAGTTGATCTATCAGGGCATGTAAAAAAGGTGTCGATCTCTGTGATCTGTGGATGGCCGCAGGCAGGTTCTCTCAGTGATGCTGCTACTGTTAGGTGCCCTCAAGTTGGTTGCAACTCTACTCAGTTTATGTCCAACGGAGTGAAACAGCGCTTGGTCCTGTGCCATCCTCACAATTACTCCTATGTTTGAGCCCATTGATGCAGCCACTGTGCCAATTCATCTGTTCTTCCTAATTTTTGTTGCCCTGCTACTTTGCCAAGTATGATGTCCTTTTCCAAGAACCAGTCTCTCCTGACAACGTGTCTAAAATGCAAGAGATGAAATCCAGCCATTCTTGCCTCTAAGGAACATTCTAGCTGTACTTCTTCCAAGACAGATTTGTTTGTCCTTTTAGCAGTTCATGGTACTTTGAATATTCTTCACCACCACTGTAATTCAAATACATTGATTCTTCTTTGGCCTTCTTTGTGCTGTGTCCAACTTTCAGATGTGTATAAGGTTGACTGTGTCATATAATACACTTGACTTTGTCTCCTTAGTGTGCCTTCCAAAAAGATCCAATCAAACAGTGACTTCCAAGAGGATCTGTTAGATCAGTTAAATTCAGTTTACAAGTGATTACTTTTGGGAATTCTAAATGATTCCCCTCCCCACCAAAGTCCACAGAATAGTCATGAGATTTATGAGGAAGAGGCTTTAAGAAAATTGAAAACTTTATTGCTGAGGCAAAAAATGTGAAAATTGCACTAAGAATCACTCTTTCCACCACATCATGGCATCTGGCTCATTCTTTGAGGGTGGCAAGGGCTTTCCTGGGAGAATTTCAATGGAAAACTTTACAGCATCCACCCTAGTTCCTGTTCCTGCCCATCCAGTGTTGGTTTTGGTCCTCAAATTCAAAGAATATTTTATTATTATTATTTATTTATAAATAGTTCCTAGTTCCTGTTCTTGCCCATTCAGTGTTGGGTTTGGTCCCCAAATTCAAATAATATTTTATTATTGTTTATTATTATTTATTTATTTTTAAATCATTTTATTAGGGGCTCATAAAACTCTTATCACAATCCATACATACATCCACCCTGTATTCCCTGTGCTTCCAGTTCCTATCTGTACCAGTGTACATCCTATGGTCTAGCCAGACTTGCAAGCTAGAATTTGGATCATGATAGTGGGGGCAGGGATAGGCTGGATGAACAATCTGGAGGAGAAAACAACGGGACCGACAGTTCCGGGGGGACATGGGAGAGGGGGAGGTGGGGAGAAAGGAAGTGGTGTTAACAAACCCAGGGACAAGGGAACAACAAGTGATCCAAATTGGTGGTGAGGTGGGTGTGGGAGGCCTAGTAGGGCATGATCAAGGGTAATGTAGCAAAGAGGAATTACTGAAACCCAGGTGGGGACTGACCATGATAGTGGGACAGGAAGAATGTCAAAGGAAATAGAAGAAAGGGCATTTATAGAGGTCTAGATAAAGACATGTACATATGCAAATATATATATATATATATATATGAGGGTGGGGAAATAAATCTATGTCCCTATATTTATAGGTTTAGTATTAAGGTAGCAGAGGAACATTGGGCCTCCACTCAAGTACTCCCTCAATGCAAGAATACTTTCTTCTATTAAATTGGCATTCTATGATGCTCACCTTCCCGACACAACCACTGAAGACAAAGTGGATGAATAAGCAAATGTGGTGAAGGAAGCTGATGGTGCCCGGCTATCAAAAGATATAGTGTCTGGGGTCTTAAAAGCTTGAAGGTAAACAAGCGGCCATCTAGCTCAGAAGCAACAAAGCCCACATGGAACAACATATCAGCCTGTGTGATCACGAAGTCCCGAAGGGATCGCTGAAGACAAATGGGTGCATAAGCAAATGTGGTGAAGAAAGCTGATGGTGCCCAGCTATCCAAAAGTATAGCATCTGGGGTCTTAACGGCTTGAAGGTAATCAAGTGTCCATCTAGCTCAGAAGCAACAAAGCCCACATGGAAGAAGCACACCAGCCTATGCAACCACGAGGTGTCGAAAGGATCAGGTATAAGGCATCATCAGAACAAAAAATCTTATCATAGTGAATGATGGGGGGAGTGCGGAGTGGAGACCCAAAGCCCATTTGTAGACCACTGGAGATCCTCTTGCAGAGGGATCTCCAGGAGGAGACGAGCCAGACAGGGTGCGATATAGCAATGATGAAAAATACAACTTTCCTCTATCCTAAATGCTTCCTCAAATAATATTTTAAAAGGAGCATGATTTGAGTCCTTTGAGGATGCCAAAACTACTGTTTGGAAGCATGTAAATTGAAGGGCATGGAATTTTTCAAGGAAGGGTTAGAGAGATAAATAGATTGCCTTCTGAAGTGTAGACCTAGGTGAAAGTGATGATGAGAGACAATAGCTTCAGATTTTGACATTCCTGTTTAATCAAGTTTCTGTGGCTCTGTAGTCACACTTTTCAACCTACTCTTGTATTTCTCCAAAGTAATGCAGGCTTTCCATTTCCTAGTGTTATCATTGTCCTCAAATATTTATGGATTTTTTGGTTTAATTATATTCACGGATTATTTCACTACAGAAGATTCAACTGTTTCTTCCCGGTCATGGTTTTTATGTTTTTCCAAGTAGATACAACTTCGTCTGTGTTTCCAAATAAATATTGCTATTGGTAATGTGTGTATTTTACAGTGTGCCTCGTCTTTCTTCACATTTCTATGAGCGGTGAGGGCTATTCAAGATTGAATTATGTCGCCTAAAAAGTTATGTTGAAGCCCTAACCCCCATACCCGTGATTGTGATCTTGTTTGCAATTAGGGTTTTTGGAAATATTATCAGTAAACTTAACATGAGGACATGTTGAAGTAGATTAAATATTAATCAATTATATGTATTATATAGAAGAGGAAAAGAGATAAACAAAAGTATATGGAGAGAAGTCAGCCTTCTGATAATGGAGGCAGATATTCATATTGCAGGGAATTCTGAGGTTTATTACCAGTTACCAGACATTAACACTGAGCATTCAACCTCAGTATTCCCACAATGCTTCAAAATGAATCAGCATGCTAAATATCCTGATAACTTAGTACATTAATAAAAGTAAGGGATTGTTTTCAGTTATCTAATAGCAATATTTATGTGCATATATTAGTTCTCTACAGCTACAACAGAAAATACCACTCATTGGGCAGCTTCTAATAACATCTGGTTCACTATCATTCTTCACTATTCATGATGTCTGTCCTTGGGCATCCCCTTACGGGAGGGTCACAAGGAAGAGAAGAGCCAGTCAGGATGCAGTACAGCAGTGGTGAAACATACAAGTTTCCTCTAGTTCTTTAATGCTTCCTCCCTCCCCCGTGCCCCCATCATGACTCAATGCTACCTTACAAATCTGGACAGACCAGAGCACGTACACTGGTATAGATAAGAGCTTGAAATATAGGGAATCCAGGACAGATAAATCTCTCAGGACCAATAATGAGAATTGTATACCAGGAGGGTAAGAGGAAGGTGGGGGAGAAAGTAGGAACTGATCACAATGACTAACATATAACCCCCTCACAGGGGGACTGACAACAGAAAATTGGGTGAAGGGAGACAGTGGTCGGTGTAAGACAAGAAAAAAATTATAAATTATCAAGGGCTCATGAGGCAGGGAGGGTGGGGGAGTGGAAAATAACCTGATACCAAGGGCTCAGGTAGAAGGTAAACGTTTTGAAAATGATGGTGGTAACATATGTACAAATGTGGTTGACACAATGGATGTATGTATGTGTAAGAGCTGTAAGAACACCCAATAAAATGATTTTTTTTTTAAAGGAAAAGGAATGTCTGTCCTTGGGGTAACTTAGTTTCAACTTCACATTCAATATTCTTTCCACTGGACTACATATAAATAATTTGAAAGTATGAGATATAACACTCACCTCA